CAACACAGTGGAGATAACCCAGGAAACATTTTGGCTAACCTCGTTGGGGGGAGGTACCATCTATAAGCCCTCTTGTATATGTTTTCTTTAAATGCTGTAGATATTGTAAGTTTAATAGTCTTACTCCATTTATTATGGCTTTTAGTTGTACAAATACATATTGAAAACTGCTAAGTAAATTTGGAAAAATCCTGTTTTTGTTCTTAGGAGTCTATGGGGAAATGTTCAGATGGTAAAGCTTATGCAATAACTGGCCTTTGGAATCCTAATATACCTATCTTTTTAGTCTTAAATGAAGAAACTCCTAAGGGTAAGTATGCATTTAAAATGCTATTATGTGATTACATTATTGGAAAGAGATTAAATATATTGTTAGCCTTCTGTTTTAATAACATTCCTCATGCACTGTAATATGCATTTATTTATAACGCAATAGATATTGCATTAAAAAAGCCAGATCTGATGCATAAATAGAAGTGGGACTTTGGAGAGCAAAGGGAACAGTAGGTGAGAGAGCAGTGTTATGAAATAACAATATGAAGTTATACAAGAGAAGAATCTCAGTAGAGTAGAAATCAGAAGTTCCCAAGCATACGAGTATACTTCATTGTTATTGCCATTTAATGTGAAATTTAATTTTATTTGTGTGTTACAGATAAGCGTGTGTACATGACTGTGGGAGTAGATATGGTAGTCACAGAAGTGGTAGAGCCAGTTCGTTTCCTGTTAGAGACACTTGTGCGAGTGTATCCAGCCAATGAACGCTTCTGGTACTTCAGCAGGAAAACTTACACAAAAACATTCTGTATGAAATTAAAACAGGTAATTTTTAATAAAAAGAGAAGAAATAATTTAATGAGTTGGAAAAGTATTTCACTGTCTGTATATACTTTGCAAAATGCTATGTAAATTAAGTGTTGGGGATTAAAGTTTATAGGTAAATGGAGCCAGGCCGTCGATGGTGCATAAGAAAAATAAATAGGGAGGAAAGCCTTTTTCAGTTGGACAATTTGCAAGGTTTCTTTGAGAGCTGGGAATTGGAGAATTGATTGCCAGAATAATTTATCCACTAGTCGCTTCTCCATTGAATTTGCTTATTGGAAGCTGACTGTGAAAGTTGCAAATGGCAATCATGTGACACGGGACACGGCAACCATCGTAAAAACACAATAGTTGTGAAGTGCCCAAACTCTGCCGGGGGAGGAGACACTGCTGCAGACACAACTTTGAATACTGGTTGTGAGTGCCACCCACTTACCACCATCAAAATTTTGAACGGTCGCTGAATGAGTGGTTGGTAAGCGAGGACTAACTGTAACATTATTGAGTTACCCCTCATGTATGGATTTTAGGCAAATTCTTAAAGAATGTGACAGACCAACTCCATATGTTTTTGGGGGAAGCAAGTTATTTATATCTTTGATGATTAATACACTGATAACTTTCCAAGTCTATATTGTAGTAATTTATACATGAGGCTCTAGTTTTGAAGGAGACCAAGCCACTTTCTTCCAGTTGCAGCAGCCCACATTTTAAACAATACAGAGAGATCATATTATAATTAGCAATAGCAATAGCAGTTAGACTTATATACCACTTCATAGGGCTTCCAGCCCTCTCTAAGCGGTTTATAGAGTCAGCATATTGCCCCCACAGTCTGGGTCCTCATTTTACCCACCTCGGAAGGATGGAAGGCTGAGTCAACCCTCAGCCAGTGAGATT